TTTTTAAATTAAGAATTAAATATAAAAAATGTAGGAAACAACATATAAAAATTCAGGTTTAGTTCCTTAGAAGCAGTATAAGATATGACAATACCAAGCATGTTTCCCCAAACTAGGAAACTAAAAGTGTGTGATGTAGTCATTTTGCCAGGAATGGTATCTTCTACTGCTTACAATTTCCATTCAGCTCCTTCACTCCTTGATATCCCCTGCCTGAACCTTGAAAGCCCTTGAGTTTATGACCTCTGATCTAAAACTCCATCATAGTCACTTACTGGACCAAAACAAACAAACAAATTGTTTTAAGTCCACTTTCTGGAATAGTATTCAATTACAAGTAGAACACAAAAAGAGCAAAGCAATGAACTTGAACGTTTGCACCATCACTTCTGTACAAATAGTAAAGAGAACATGTCAAATGCATAACCTTTTGGCACAACTGATACACATGGTATTAGATAGGAGGTTTTGATTATATAAAAGAAAGAATGTGAATCATTCTTTTCTCCTAAAATGTTAACTTGATTTTGTTTAAATTTATTATACTTTGTTGGATTTTTAAAATATCTGTCACTATTTGCGTACCTTTCAACAAGCCAAAACTTAGAAGCTATAGATTTGAAGGAAGTCTGGCCAAGAAATTGTGGAGTAAGTGTCAAAACATGTTTCCTCCTTGTAAATAAGTAATTTTTCTGCCAGAGATTATCACCTGAGTCATATCAAAGGTCAAATGTTTGTCTCTTCAGCTTGCTGTGACTTTAAACATGAGAACATTAACTTGCCTGGTTCTGAGAAAGTCATTAGTTAGTTAATATAGAATATTTCAACAGAGTAAAAATTAAATTGGTTTTGGAATTAGTCTAATGAATAACTTATCAGAAAATTAAAAAGTTTCTTATATTACATATATTGTCATTGTATGTACAATTGAGTAGGAACTGACTCATAGCTGACTGTTCTGTGGGTTTTCAGAGATAATAAATCACACTGGAGTAAATTACCTGCCTTTCTTCTATGCAGCAGCTAGTGGATTCGAACTATATGCCTTTGGGTTCACATTATAGCACCTTACCACTAGGCCACCAGATCTTCATAATATTACAGAGCTATTCAGTCAGATATTGTTAATATCTTCATTGTATGTAATGTTTCAACTTTGAAAAATGTCGTATATACAGTAGTGTTATATGGAAGAATACCCTGCATATTGTACTAGTATAGAAGTGGAGTCATGTGCCAAACCTATTGTGATCTACTATTCTTTGTTATTTTATAATAGATTCAAGAAGGGTTGAACATGACTTCAAAGTTCAGTTAAATGGATACTTATAAATTATTTTAATAGTATTTGATACTCTAATTACTTACCATTCATATCTTAAGTTTTAATTTATTATCAGACTCAGACAGAGAAATTCAGAATGAGCAGAATTCTTCTGTCAAATGCTCACATACAACTTTAGTTGTGCCAGATTCTGCCTTCAGCAATGTGAGTGAACTTCAAACAGAAATGCATATGAATAGTTAAAGGAAAATGCTGAATCCCACTTGTTGTTTCTTCTGTGAAGTAATTTGTCTATAATATTTATAAGTTTTTATAACCCATACAGGGCTTTATCACTCAACATTAAATTTATATTACTCTGAAGTTTTACCTTCTGAGAAGTATATTTCACTCTGTAGCATCGTTCAGATTCCATCTCAAAATTAATTTCTGTTAGTAAAAATGGAAGTATTTTAATGAAAAGAAAAGCATTTATTAGTCATCAGCACAATTTTAAGCATATAGTGAAGTCTTCATTTTTAGTATATTTTTTTATATGAATGGAGGTCATTATCGTTCCTGAAGATTGGAAACACATTGACATTATATGTGTTTATCATTGTGAATAGTGTTTGTACTTATTTCTTCAAGGTGAAAATTGAAATAAATTATTAAAAATGTACCCTTTTGATGTTTTAGGAATGCATTGTGATGGAAACCTACAAATTGGTTCTTAAGATATAATGGACAAAATCATTAGCTTGAGAATATATGTATGCATATGAACCTAATCTTTTAAATTTCTTAGAACCGATATCTCCAAACATCACCTATAATCTTTGTCCTCGATTCAGTGACTACATCTCAGTGCATGCACAATTGGATAAATAAACCTGATGTGCAAAACTCATTAAACTGAAATATACCATTGCCTATAAGTCAGTTCTGATTTGTGGCAGCCCTCCACCAGATTTCTAAGGTTGTCTATCTTGTCTTAGGGAGCTCTGATAGCCTGGTGGTAAGGAGCTATGCTGCTATCCCAAAGGCATGTGGTTCAAATCAGCTACTCCCGGAAGAAAAATGATCAGTCTCTTACAGTGATTTACTGCCTCTGAGGGCCATCTAGAATTTGGTTCCAACTCATTGGAACACAACAGCCACATTAACACATCTTGTCTTAGAAGCAGTGCAGCTGAAATACTCCTTAGGAACAAAAAATGGTTTGTCTCACATACTCTGCACATGTTTTCAGAAGGTTAGAGAGCTCTGGTTACAAGAAGCTGTGCTACAGTCCTGAAGTCACACGATTCGAGGTTACCAGCTGCTCTGCGGGAGACAATGGGCAGTTTCCTTCTGTGTGATTAACAGCCTCTAAAAACTCGCTGGAGAGTCAGCTATGGGTCGGTTCTGACTATTTGGTACCCATCATGAACAACAGCGTCAAAAGGTTACTGTCCCTAGATAAAGACATTATGCTTAGTAAAATAGGAGTGTTAGCAAAAAATGAAGACCCTCCAGGAATTGGATTAACACAGTTTTTGCTGCACTAGTGTTAAGCACAACAGATTGTGACAGTGTTGGAGGATTAGGCATTATGTCCTTGTGTTGTACATTGGATGGCTAGAAAAAAAGAGTTACCTTGGCAGTAAAAAAATAGCACCAAACCCAGCCAGGGTGAGAATGTATAGTTTTATTGGACATTGTTGGAGTTTCTTGTTTATGTCTCTGGAATTTTGAGAAAGATTTTTGTAAATATTTGATGTTAAAAAGAAAATGGTTTTTGTCTGATGACAGAATCACATCTTCTAAAGACTTTCCTCTTCTTTTGATTTCAGTTTACAAGCTTTGCGAAAGGAGAAATCCCGAGATGCTGCTCGATCCCGCCGGGGAAAAGAAAATTTTGAGTTCTATGAATTGGCCAAGTTGTTGCCGCTTCCTGCAGCCATCACCAGCCAGCTTGACAAGGCTTCCATCATTAGACTTACAATTAGCTATCTGAAAATGAGGGACTTTGCTAACCAAGGGGACCCTCCTTGGAACTTGAGAATGGAAGGCCCTCCACCTAACACATCAGTAAAAGGTAAGCCTTGGGCCACTGTTCAGTCTGGAATGTGGTGGTCTCTAGTGGTCTCTAAGATAAAATGTTTACCATCGTCCTTTCTTCTTTTCCTGCATATCAAATCCTTAAAAGGGATACAAATGTGGAAATCTGAACTCTGCATGAGAAAGACACCATGTGAAGGTGAAATCAACCTCTTCTTCTTTTTCTATTTTATTTTTTAAAAGTTTATCAGCCTAAATAATCTGTCACTTGATATACAATTGCAGAGAAAGGAGGATTAAATGACTTACACTTAAGTATTTCTTGTGTCTAATTTCTCTTGTTCTAATATATGCAAATATTTTTAAATATATATATATATATATATATATTATGCTTCCTAAAGGGTAGAGTTAGTGTTTTCTGCTTTCAGTAACTAGAATGGAAGGACAGGAGCCCAGTGCAACTTTAACAGTTCATGACAAAACCCAATCCATTATTTCAAGTTTTCCTGTCTCTGTTGTCTAATAGTTACAAATATAAACATACATATAACCTTGCTGCCACTAACATTTTTTTAAAATTGGTTTGCTTACAATCATTCATATATATTGTGTTTCATATAATCATTCATATACATTGTATTTTACGCTATTACTGTTAGTGCCTATTATTCCTCCTCAAGGCCTCTTGGAACCTTTCCTATTCCTTCATCCCACCCAGCCCCCTGCCACTAACCTCTCCTATCCTAGTGATCCCCCCTTCCTGTCTTCTGCCTCCCGTCTCCTCTCCTCTTCCCCTTTTAAACATTTATACTTACCTTAATCAGTTACCCTCCTATTTTCAAAATAGTGATCTTATGTAGTATTTGTCCTTGTGCAACCAAGTTATTTCACTCATTATAACATTCACTCAATGGAATACTATACAGCACTGAAAATATTTTTATA